ACACCACCCAACAACCCACACAAAAAAAAAAAAAAAAAAAAGAAAAAAAAAAAAAGGGCCCTTTTTTCAAAAAAAAAAAAAAAAAAAAAAAAAAAAAAAAATTACATATAGAACCACCATATGACCCAGGAATCCACTCCTCTGTATATAACTAACTGAATATAGGAACCCAAACAAGTACTGTACACACTTGTTCATGGAAGCAGAATTCATAACAGCCAGAAGATGGGAACGTAGTCCAAGTGTCCACAACAGATGAGCACATAATTTTGATATACTGGGTGGAGTATTATTCGGCCATGAAAATGTTCTGATACATAGTGACATGAAAGAACTTCCCAGACAGGAACAGAAGCCACACACAAAAGGTCACATGGGACACAACTCACATATGTCTAGATGGGCATCTCTATGGAGACAGACGTGGTAGCTTCCAGGGCTGAGGAAGGGAGTGGACTAAGGAAAGTATCTACTAGGTAAGGAACCTCTCTCGGAGAGTGGAAGAGTTTGAAACAGCCAAAGCACACGGTGAGTTGTATGACTGCCCCTGAGCTACTCACTCTAATAGTTCATTTTGTGTTAGGAGAACCTCACCCCAATAAGTTGTTTAAAAAGCTTGTTCTAGGGGCTCAGCAGTTAAGAACACTGGCTGCTCTTGCAGAGGACCTGAGTTCGGTTTCCAGCACCCACATGGCAGCTAACAATCCCTAACTCCAGTTCCAGGGAACCTGATGCCCTTTTCTGACCTCTGTGGACACTGCACAACACGGGTGCACTTACACGCAGGTAAACCACTCATACACATAAAATAAAGTAATTTTAAAGTTTGTTCTAATTCCGCAACAATGAAAGAACACTGGCTTTTGCTCTAGGAACCATCTACGGGAAAGATCAGACTATAGAGCAACACCTAAATCGACCTGTCTCCAAAGCACTGATTTCAACCATGGCAAACAGGACTTTTCAAAGAAACCTGAAGCCCCGAGCAATTACGGAAGCTAGAATTTTAAATCCCTAAGGCACGGCAGGATGGAAAGGATGGATAGATCCAGCTAGGGAGAAGAAAATGGGGTTCTCCAGGGGCTACTCCCAAAGGAACAAGGGCAAAGATGCCCACTGGGATCATAAGATAGGAGACTGGGCCAGAGAGATGACTCAGTAAGGACACTTGTCATACAGAAAAGAACCAGCTCCTGTAGTTGTCCTTTGACCGCCACACATATGCCACAGCATACACATACCTGCCCACAGTAAGCAAACAGATAAATGTAAAAATATTTGAAAGACAGGAGTCTGGGAAGCCAGGAGTGGGGCTGGGGAAAGCACCCTGAGTCCACTTCACTGCCTCAGCCTTGCGGACTCCACTTCAACTCTGGTTTTAAATGTCTCCACCACAAGCACTTAGCACGACCCTGTTTCTACACTGAATTCAGACAGTATTTTGATGAGCTGCCATGACACACACCCATCTTTGCAAACTTACCCAGCTAGGATAAAGTCCAGCAAGTGTAACTGCTGAACCAAAGGGTGTAACCCTGAGCTGAAGCCCATCTGATGCCCACCTCCCTGGCAGTTGGCTGAGAAGGTCCATTCCCAGTGGCAACATTATCTTTTGCTCCCTATGGCCTGAAACTTGCAATCCTCCTGACTCAGCCTCCAGAGTGCTGGGGTTACAGGCACACACCACTACGCTCAGTTCCTTTTTTGGCTATCTGAATGAAGCCACTCCAACGAACAACACAAAAAAATTCCCTGCCACTTGTTTTCCAAAAAGCTAGCTGGCTATCCCAGCACTAGTGGCTAAATGATCAATCGTAATGCACTTCACTGTGGTCTGTTTCTAGATTCCTCCCACAATGGAATCTTTGATTATTTAAATTAAAGTCAGATGCCTGTCTGTAGGAAAACTGAGGAGGGAGGACTGCCACAATTTCAAAGCCAGTCTGGACAAAATGGCAGACCCTAACTCAAAAACTGAAATGACAAAACCCTTCAACTTCTGCAATAGTTCTGAGAGATGGCAGTCTAATCTCCACCTGGACACACTAAAAATATAATACTCATCACGTTCACCATAAACATAGAAAAATCACAAAGCAGAAAGTTAATTCACTTGGATAGTACTTTTGTCCAGGAACCACTGGGAAAATTGTATTGTATCAAAGAAGTTTCTAAAGTCAGACAACATGGTTTGGTTTCCTTTTCTCTGCCGCTGCTCATCACCAGCACCTGGCACTGAATTTTTTGGTTTAGTATATAGTCCGCTGGGAGAGGGTTTCTAGATAAGTCAATCTGTGGGTGAAACAGGGGGAGTCTCTGGCACTGAGAAGGACAGGAACAATGTTACTGTCATCATGAGGTTCCCAGAACCCAAGAAAATTTGATGCTTGGGGACAGAGTGTTGTTTATTTTCTTGAGGCAGCACCTGGTAGCTCAAACAGTCACTTGAAATGGAGGCCACAATCTGGAGAGGTGTGGGGAAGGAAAAGGCACTTTCTCTGTCATAGTCAGGGGTAATGGACAGGTGTCTGGCTGGACACCTAGGAAGAGGCAGCGCTGGGAAAAGTCTGAAGAAAGCCATCAGGAGGGAAGGGAGCACCAAATCTGGGTTTATGTCAGGCATCTGAGCAAGGGCCAACCAGAAGCAAGCAGCAGTGTGGGGAATGCTGGGAAAAGCTCTGCTGGGTCTCGATGTAACATCATTAACTTAGGTGAATCACTTGGCTATGATAGGTGGGCTCGCCGGAAGGCTTGGGAAGCCTTGCTTACAGATTTGTGACTGACCTTAAAAGAAGTACTTGTTTATTGAAATGGTCTTCATCCTTAATGCTGCACAAAGAGCTATCCTAACAATTTGCAGATTTCATCATACTTCCTTTATCTAAGCCAAATAGTTGTTTCTTCTCACTTTCTCTAATAGGCTTGCCAGATAACTGTCTACATTTTACCAGTGTTTACACTTCATTCTGCTTTTTTTTTTGGACATCAACATGACTGCTTTGGAGGCAATGTCACAGTGGCTCACCCAGAGATTGGACCACATCACACTGGCTCTGACCAGGCACTTCACGGGCTATCTGATACTAGTCTCTCAGTATCCATGTTTTGGTGCCCTATCCACTAAGATGGGATGAGACACTACCAATAGTTGTGAAGGACACAGCCCAGCTCACAGAAAGTAACAGTTACACTTACCACAGACCACAGGCTGAATCTCAGTCTCTCTCTCCCTCCTCCCCCCCCCTTTATTCTTTCTGAGTGTTTTGCCTATATATATAAGTGCACCGTGTATGCAAAGTCCATGGAGGTCAGAAGAGAGCATCGGATCCCCTGGAACAGATGGTTGTGAACCACCATGTAACTGCTGAGAACTGAACTCAGGTCCTCTGAAAGAGCAGCCTGAGCTCTTAACCACTGAGGCATCTCTCTAGCCCCATCTTTTTATTTATTTTTTTTTATTTTAGTACATTTATTTGTGTATGTATGTGGGTGTGTACACATGGTACCTGTGCATAGGTCAGAGGACAACCTGTGGGAGTCAATTCTCTCCTTCCTTCATGTGGGTCTCAGGGTGCATACCACAACATGCACCTTTTTTTTAATTAAAAAAAAATTGTGGGGGCTGGAGGGATGGCTCAGCAGTTAAGGGCACTGGCTGCTCTTGCAGAAGACTTGGGTTCAAATCTCAGCACTAATATGGTGGCTAACAACCACCTCTAACACCAGTTCCAAGGGATCCGATACCTTCTTCTGGCCTTGCGTGCACTGCATAACACAGGTACATTTACATACGGGCATAACACTCGAACACATAAAATAAAAAATAAATAAAAAATCATGTCTGTGTCTATGTGTCGTGTGTGCAGATACCCACCGAGGTCAGAACAGAGTGTTGGATCCCATGGAGCTGGAGTTACAGGCAGTAGTGAGGTGCCCAATGTGGGTGCAGGGCACTAAACCCAGGTCCTCTGCAACAGCAGCCCATGCCCTTAACTGCTGAGCCACCTCTCCAGCCTCCTGGTTTGGTACTCTTAACTCTAGACTGATGCCTTCAGCATTTT